GGAGGCCAAGGAGGCGACCGAGCCGAAGGATCTCGAGGGGCAGAGCCGGCACGCGACCAGATGGCCCACTTACGGCTGGGCCTTAGCCTGTCTAGCTCCAAAGAGCTTAGGGCTCGCCAACATTCGCAGGAGGGGTAGTCTGTAAAATCGGGGCCAGTCCAGTCGCTCGTCGCCAGGCGCTGCGCGGCGCGCGGGGCCCGCGGACAACCTCTGCCCGCGCGGGGTGGGGGGGGGGCGCGGTCACGGGGGGCAACGGCGATGACGACGCTGAGGTGCACCATGTCAAGGGGGAGAGGAAACGCCTTCGAAACCTATGCTGCAGCGCCCGAGCCGCCAGGTGCCACGGGCCCAGGTCTTCTTTCGAAGTCCCCCCCTCCCCGCGCAGCTCCTTGCAGCGAGCAGTTGGGGCCGCGATCGGCGGGCGGTCTGGGTCTCCGCGACCGACGGGGCTGCCGATGCAGAGGGCGCCGGGGAAAGGCAGAGGCGCGGGTTCGCAAGAAGAGACCTCGGCTGATTCTTCTTGGGCCCACCCGCTCCGCAAGCGAGAAAATGGAGAAACATTGAATCATCTCGCCCTCCCGTGGAGCTCGCCCGCGCGCGGGCGCGGGCGGGTCGTGGAACTGCTTGCGCGCGCGCGGGGGTCGGGGCGCTTCGGGCGTTTCCAGGGGTCGGGGGGGGGGGGCGGTCTTTGATCGGCGCTGTTTTGGGTCAAGTGATGGAAGGGGCCGTTCCGTGAAAGTCGAGTAGGACTATGGCCGTCGATGTCTTTCTTCCGAGGCGCCTGACATGACATCGATGCAAAGGGGGGCGCGAACGCAGTCATCTCGAAACGGGGCCGATCACTCGGAGGCCCCAGGCGGGCCCCCGAAGCTATGTCGCGCTTTTCCCGGTGGGCGCCCTAGCTGGCGCGCGGGCCGAGGGGGCGGCCCCCGCCGAAGAAGAGTTGACTTCTCTGCGTCGGTGCCCGCTGTGCATCTGCGTGATCCTTTGCGCCGACGAGTCGGTCACCGTCGAAACAGAGCCCGGTGCTCGACGGCAGGGGCGCCCAGAGGCCCCGCCCAGGACCCGGCCCGGGAGAGACCCCCGGCGGGGCCCGAACCAGGGTCGAGAGGGGGGCCAAGAGCCAGAGGTTTTCTCTGGGGAACCAGAAATCGAGGCTACCGCTCCAGTCAGGCAGTTCACCCATACGGCGCATTGCAATCTGGGGCTTCCTCACGCGCACGTCTTTCCTCAGGTTCTTCGGCCGCCCGCGCTCGCCCCGAGATCCGCGTCGCCCTGGGCGAGCGAACCGGCGACTGGGCGCGGGGCATTCAAAGCGCGCCACAAGTGCCGAAACAAGCAAAGTTGAAGCGCGAGCGCGAAACGAGGAGACGTGGAAGCACGGGAGGAGCAGGGGGAACACGGGAATGCAATCCCCATGTTTGCCCGCGTTTCTTTGGTCTCCGAACGTCGCGTTTCACATCTTGGCCCGGGCGATTTCTTTGTCAAGAAATGTGTTTAAAGATGTTGTCCAAACTTCCAAATCTGGGCGCGTTTGTTTGCCATGTTTCCAAATCCGGGCGCACTTTTGTCAACCGCGTTTCAAGTGTCAATCGAATGTCCAGAGTTGGGCGTGCGTTTTGCAAACTTTGTTTAGATTGTTATCAAGCCTCCAAATCTGGGCGCATTTTGCCCACTCCTCAAGTTCTCCAAAAGTGCCAAATCCAGGTGTATTCTGCCAGATGTTTCAGTGTTCCAAGCATGTTTCACGTTTTTTTTTAGTCGCGCATCCAAATCCGGGCGACAGTGCGTCCTTTTTCCTTCAATGTTGGAACTGTTGGCAAAGTCTTCCCGTGTTTATACAAATCCGGGCAAACTTGCGCCCGTGGTTCGATCGAGCGTTTCAAGCTCTGCATGGCGCCGAGATCGCATCAGTTTGCCTGCGCTGGGGCGGCGTGGCCCGAGATGGTCGAGTACGCCGGGGGCGTCTATTCGCGCGCCGATTATGATTCCCAGGCTCGTCTAGTCGATCACCGCGCGGTGGCCGTGCCTCGCGCCTTTCAGTTCAACGAGGTCATCGCCGTTGACGCCTTCGCGTTTGAGTTTTGAGGTGGAGAGCATCCCGGCGCTCAATTGTATTTCCCATGGTGTCAATCTGCAGGTAGTTGCAATTTTCGACAGCGCGGCCGAGGGAGCTCGGGGAGCCGCCCCTCAGGCCCTCGGGCCTGGTCGCGCCCTGTTGGGCCCCCCAACATGCTTCTCTCGGGCGGGGGGGCTGAGTTCAAGGGCCAGGGCGCGGAGCGCCCCGGGGCTTCTCGTCGCGCGATGGGCGCCGGGGGCCCCGCGGGAACACGGGCGCGCTGGGCGACGCGGCGGGTGTGTCAAGGATATTGGCCCGAGCCTCTTGAGAATTCGGTCGTCGCCAGTCGAGCGGAGCTCGCATCGCCGCCGCGCGAAGTGGTGTCAGCCAGAGACATATGCCTGCGCCGGGGGGGCCCCACTCCGCTCCAACGCGCGCCTGGGGCCCCCGTCTCCCAAGCGATCTCCTTGCAGACGAGGGGCTTCGACGGGTTGGGGAGGGGGGCCTCGGGCGGTCCGCCTTGGGCCGGGGCGCGGCGGCTGCAGATTAGTTATGTTCGCCGGCGCGCTGCCCAGCAGCTGGCCCGGCAGGGGCATGTCATGTCGCGCAATTGGAGGCGCTTGGCCGAGGCCTCTGAGGCTCGCGTTCACGTAGACTTCGCGGCCCATCTGGGTCAGTGGGTTCTCGCTTGGCGAAGGGCTCCCACTCAAGATCGCAAGGCGCTCGCTCTTCGGCGCGATCGATTGGTCGGGCCAGGTCCGATTATCTTGCAGGCTGGGGCCGCCGCCTGGATGGCCATGGGGAATCGGCCGTGGAAGTGCCCTTCGAAACAAAGTCCGCCTCGCCAATTCTCCCGAGGCGAGAGGGGCGGGAGTCGCGCTGGACCCCGCCGCCCAGAAGCTGCTTCGACGGGCCCAAGTCGGCCGAGCGGGGGCCAGGATGGACGCGGCCTCAGATGGGGGCTCCTCCCTGGGAGGCCTGGGGGCCGAATCGCGCGGCAGAAGTTGACTCGTCTTCGATTATACTTCCGGTTTGCCTCCCGCTTCCCCCTGGGCACGGCCGGCGTCGCGCTGGGGCCCGGCGGCCGCTCCGGTCCCGTTCGCCGTCGATCGGCGAGGAGATTGAACGCCTGGGCCCCGCCGACGCCCCTGCAGGGCACGACGGGCCCAGGGCCGAAAATCGGATCGCGACGCCCCTCTGGGTTTGGAAGTGGCCGGGTTTAGAAGCCCGGTTTACAACCTGAACTGGGTCGGTCGAGAGATTGCGCCGAAGCGGCTGGAGGTGCCTCGATAATCAGGCCCCCCGATTGAACGACCTTCTGGTAGCTCACAAGATGGTGGATCATCTGACAACATAGGCATGCCTGCAGGACTGCCCATAATTCGGCACCCATTGCTTCGGCTTGAAGCGCTGCGCGTTCGCCGCTGCCAGCGACGGCGGCGGGGCAGTAGACCGACAGCGCCGCCCGCCTGCAGCAGGTGATCAGGCTTTCGCTCTTGGCCAGCGCGTGAGGCGAAGTGGCAGGCGGCAAGCACTCTTGCCGGTGAAGCGCAAGCCCCGCCAGCAGCCTCGCAGAGGCTCAGTGGCTGCACCTTATGCTTGAGGACGTGACCCGCGAGAATTTAGCCAACGACTTCTGGCGGGACAAGGCAGGGCCGCCCGCGGCCCTGATCCCCAGACGCGTTGCCCAGTGTCCTCCTCGAAACAAGTGCTTGAGTATGGTAGATGCTAAGGCTATCTACGATGCCCGAATCATGTGCCCAGCGGCTCGATGGGTCGATCGGAGAGCCGCGATAGATCTGGCCGCGGTGAGCAATCTGATGATCAAGAGCGGCAGTGGCATCCGATGGATGCCGCGCCCCTTTTTGCCCGTGGACCGCATGGCAAATCCGACCATGCTGAGGCGAATGCCGTTCAGTACGAGTTGCTCAGTTCAGGATGCCCCCGCCTGACCGAGGAATCCAACCTTTTTGAGGGCTGAGAGACAAGCCCACCAACGAAAGGACGTTCGAGGCCGAGTCACAAAGGCAGCTCCAGCAGCCAGGTGCGCGGCACGGTCTGAGGGATCGCCGCTCCAAGCCCGGAAAAGTTTTATTCCCATGTGACGGAGCGGAGCATCTTCCACTTTAAAGCTCCAGCGTCCGAAGCTGGCGTGTAGCGTCTCAGCCAACATGTTTTGCTCGACGAGGGAAAGCCTCGTAGTCGCTAGCGGCAGCAGAGATACGTGCGCACGCACGCGTGCACGTGTGTGCGCGTGTGCGTTCGAACCGGTGCGACCTTCCTAGAGCCTAGGGTGGGGGGTCCAGACCGGGGGCTTGAAGCGTCGTCGAGCGTGTCCCGTTCAAGCCTACAGCTTTGCGGCGGACTGACGGAACGTCATTTTGGCTCAAGATTCGCCATACCCCTTCTTTCTGACTCACCTCTACTATTCCTCCTTTTCCAATTACCCCATGTATGTTTGCAGGGTGTGCGCGCGATGTGCCGGAGAGCTCGTCTGCACAATCTCGCGAAAGGGAATTTCATTTGGACGTTGACTGCTGTCGTCCGTGGGGCGACAGACGAGAGGAGGAGGAGGAAAAGCATGCGCAGGATTGATATGAGGACGAGGTTTATAACGTAATGTTGATGTTGCTGTTGGTGGGCCGGGGGAGGGTGCTAAGCATGATGAAGACGTCGAAGGGTAGGAGGACAACCGGGAATGATAATGAGAAAGAGAAGGAGGAGGGGGTGGATGGGAGGGAACGGGGGGGAGGCGGCGGGGGGGGTCGGGGGCGGGGGAGGAGCAGGAGGATGAAGCAAAGCCAGGAGGAGGCGGAGGTGGAGGAGGAGGGCGAGGAGGAGGGGGGTGATGAGGAGGAAGAGGGTGTTGAGGAAAGGTGGGGGGCGTGGCGGGGGGGATGGAGGAGGGACAGGAAGCCATGCACTCCCGTTGTCCTCGCAGGCGACCTGGTACGAGGAGTTCTTGAAGAAGATCTGCTCCGAAGGGGACGCCACGCCGCTGGACCCGCCACGAACCACGAAATCCTGTCTGCCTCTTCTCTACAATTCCACCATATGAGTACTACTCCCTTCTCTCCCTGGTGACGTCTGGGAAATGTTCGGCCCCCCTCCGCGTATTGGTTTTTTACACAAGATTCCCAGGAAACGGGCTTTCGCTCGGGATTTGTTGTCAAGATGCTGTTCTCGCTGAAGCGACCGATCGTTCGGCGAATCGGGGCCCTCCTGGACCGTTTTGGGGGGCCTCTTGGGGCCCTCTTGGCCCGTTCGAGAGCTGTTCTCTATTCCCCCATTGCGCGTTCGTCCCGGGGTCGTCCGCGGCCAAAGGGGGGGGTGGTCGAATTTCCTGTCTGGGGGCCTCGGGGGGGTGTATGATCGGGGGCGGAAAAGAGGGGGGTGATGACTAGGGGGGGGGGATATCATGGCGCGGGCCATGGTATTTCCGCAGATTTCATGGCGCCTCTTCTTATTTCATTACGTCCCAGGCCCCCCCGCTTGGCCGCGCACATGCCGCCGGTCATGATTTGCACCCCTCCTCTTGGACACCCCCCTCTTGGCCGCTCCCGATATGAGGGGGGAGAATCTCACACGCCTGGAGACCCACAAAGCATCGGCCTACCCCCCTGCGGCGCGCACCGCCACCACTGGCCGTTCTCGTTGGCACGCATGTCATGCGCTGCAGCACGCCCTTTACCAGCCTCGAACTTATCCCTATCCCTAAGATTGACACGCCAAAAGGCGATGACAATCTTAGGGATGCGCCCCCCAAAAAGAAGGGAATCCCTCAGAATAGCATCGTGACGAGGAGATGCCCAGCCTAGGGAGAGGGATATGTTCCAGGCTGGTAAGATGGGAGGAGGAGGAGGAGGAGGAGGAGGAGGAGGAGGAGGAGGAGGAGGAGGAGGTGGAGGAGGAGGAGGAGGAGGAGGAGGGGGAGGGGGACGAGGGGAGAGAGGGGAGAGGGATAGGGATATGTTTCAGGCCAGTAAGCTCTTCCCAGAGACGTCCGGCGCCTCGAGCATGCTGCGGGCTTCGGGCCCCCGGCCCTCGACCACCCTCCCCGAGGGCCGGGCTCCCGGCCTGTGCGGCCCGGGAGCCCAGCACAGTCTAGCCGCATGGTGAGGATGCGCATCTTTCCGTGGTGGGCCAAGTTTTTCCTCCACCACAAACCACACGCAGGACTGGGGAGGATAGAGAACGGAGAGGTCCTCCTCCTCCTCCTCCGCCTCCTCCTCCTTGTCCTGCTGCTCCTGCTCCTGCTCCTACTCCTCCTCCTCCTCCTCCGCCTCCGCCTCCGCCTCCTGCTCCTCCTCCTCCTCCTCCTCCTCCTCCTGCTCCTCCCTCTCATGCCAATGGTAGTGGTGGTGGAAAATCGGGTCGTCATTCCAAGGTTACCTTTGCATCATTGCCCCTTCGGCCCATCCTTGCCGACTCTCGCTGGCCAGCCCCTTTCGAAAACGCCAACATGACCCCCAATGCCCGCGCATCCTTATTGCGCAACCTTAACACGACTCTTGACTGCAAGGGCCTCGGTCGGCCAAAAATGATCAAATCGTGGGCCGCCAGTAAGGGTAGTGATGACTAGGGGTGGGTGGATATCATGGCCAGGGCTGGACCTAAACGCTGTTTTGCTGGACTTCGGCTGTGCTTTGTTCTTCGTCCTGGCAGGGAGGTACAGGAAAGCAGGCAGAGCAAACCGAAGCACAAACCGAAACCAAAACGAACAACAACGTGTTAGGTCCAGCCCTGATCATGGCCGGGGCCATGACCTCTCCCCAGACTTCCTGGCCCCCGTTGATGCCCCCCATCCCCCCTCGTGCGCGCGCCCGCCTCGGGCCGTACTCTGCGAACTCCCCTCCCAGGAGCCCCGCTGGAAGAAAAAGCCTCCGTCCCCTTTCCTCCTCCTCCTCCTCCTCCTCCTCCTCCTCCTCCTCCTCCTCCTCCTCCTCCTCCTCCATGGCCATCGTCTGATTCCCCCGCCCCCCCTCGTCCGCTTCCTCGCCCCATGTGCCTCCGTCCCCGCCCTCTCCTGGTCCGAGACGCCAGGCGTCTGCGCCTCCCGGGAGCCACGCCGTGCGCAGAGCAGGTCTCGGGCCGGACGAGAGGGGGGGACTGGGAAAGGGGGGGTACGAAATCTGCGTCTTCGGGGAAGGCTCGGACAACTTCTCGGAAAGCCGGGGGACTTCCAAGCCTTCTTCTGAGAAGGCCTTCTCCCTCTCGCTTCCCCCCCTCGCTCGCCGCCAACTCGGCCCCATCTCTCTGCAGCGCTTGCTTCGAGCCGGACCGATCCGTGATGGCCCTGGGGCCCGAAGTTGGGCGTCGACGACCCGCGTGGCTCGTGCTGGACGAAAGGGGGGGAGTGGGAAAGGGGGGGGGTACGAAATCTGCTGCATGCAGCTGGTTTCTGCCTCACCGAGGGGCCCAGTCCTCGATGCATGGCCGGCCTCCCGGCGCCGGGAGGCGCCGGGAACATCAGCTGCGTGAGCTGATTCTCAACCCCCCCTTTGCT